ATTATACTGTGTGAGAGTTCTTTACATGATATATGTCAATTAATGATATTACATATGGTTCCAGGATGCAAGAGTCCGTTTGGATTAGCTGATTTGAAGTAGCTGATAAGCATTAGGTGTTGAAAAGCACTTTTAAGTGCTGAAACTGATTTAATAAATAAGCAGTTACGTGTTTGGGTACAAATGCTGAAATTGATAATAAGTTGTTGCAGTATTTGATAAAAAAGTGATGATAAACTCTTTTTTTGTTAAAATGACTTAAATAATCTTAGAATTGTTTACTTATAAGGGCGTAATTTTGTTCAAAATTTTAGAATCCAGATCGATTCAAACACAAAATATTTTATTTGTCATTTTATTTTAAATACAACTGTGCTTAGATAAAATAATTTTTCTGATAAATATAATTTATTTTATGATAAGCATATAATCATAAGTTATAATAACTAATAAATTGACAAAAGTTTCTCAGTAAAAAATAAACCTAAATAGGACGAAATATTTGAAGAGAAACAAATATTGTCTTCATCCCCACAACACCTAGAAAGCAATACACCAAAATTTGATATGTCCTCATTTATTACATACGGCTCAAAGATTAATACACAATCACATAGATATAAATATGCAAAGGAATAGGGAATTTGTTTATTTTAAATAGTCAATGAGAATTGCAGACTTGAAGGGGGGGGGGGGGATTAGGTTGTATACTTGAGGCAGTGAGTATCGATGCAAGAGTTTTGTTCTAAAAAGGAATATTTTAAGGGTAAAATAGTACAAATTTTGGTCTAACTTAAAGTGTTTATAAGCTAAAAATTCATAAGTTGTGGGTGACCAGCTTATGACTTTTGGGTTATTTTTGACTTATAAACACTTTTAACTCTACCGAACGCGTAGATAAGCCGAAAAATGCTTATAAGCTAGTTTGACCAGCTTATAAGCTTAGCCAAACATCCTCTATATCACATTGTATAATAATTATATCAAAATTCACTCTTTTCATTTTTGATCCCGAAATTAAAGGGATAATATCCCTTAAATTAGGGTTTTTCAACTCAATCCCCCCAATTTTGAAACTCTAACTGAAAGTAAAGGGAATTATCCCTTAAATAAAAGAAGTCAAAATTCATTCAAACCAACCCCCCCTCCCCCACCACCACCAACAAAAAAAAAATCCCTCATTTTAATATTATCAAATGTAATTTATTCTGTGGATTTTCTTCGGACCTAGTAAGAGTGGAGTAATGCTGTTACATATATCTTTTATTTCTTGGCAAATAAGGTAATAATGATCTCCTTAATCTTCATGAGAACTTGAGAAGACAAAACAATTTGAAGGGGAGCTATGATGTGATCGGTAAAGTTGCTGAAGGGTTCGAGCAGTGGAAACAATCTTTTACAGAAATACAGGATTAAATTATTGGTTTTTATCTAATTAGATAAGAGGTGTGAATAGAAATGGAGGGAAAAGATTAGGAGGGAAACGAAAAGTTTGAAATAGTTTCCTTTACTAATGCAATTTGTCCCTCATCGGAAGAAGGAAAGAAAATCTTTATGCTTATATAGAGAAGCACATCTTCTAACTCTTAAAGAGTTAAGAAGAAGTGGTGCATCGCGCCGCCGCCGTCGTTGCTCGGCTCGGCTGGATTTGAATTTGGATTTGTGCATACATTGCGATAGTCAAGCGGCAATAGGAAGGGCTGGAAGCATTATGTATGACGGAAAATGACTACGACCAAGGACAAGTCACTGTGGCGGTAACTCTACCTAGAAGACTGGAGATCCCAAGATCTAGGTTCAAGGAGATCAAACAAAGTTAAGTCACTGTGGCGGTAACTCTACCTAGAAGACTGGAGATCCCAAGATCTAGGTTCAAGGAGATCAAACAAAGTCATTAGTGACGGTTCAACATTGTCAAATAAAAGTTTGGTCTATTCTCGTGATGAGACAATGTTCGGTACCAAGGATAAAACGTTAAGGCTTTTTAATGGTTTCTAAGTTTGATACGGAGTATATCAAATAGTGTATCTATGGGATTGTATACGGTCAAAATCGAGGAGCATGATTTTGAAGTCTTAAATCGGGCTATGGGTCCGAGTCCGGGAGACTCGAAGTGGAGGTCAAACCTCGAGGAAGATGATCGAAGGCCTAGCATGGCCTACATCGAGGGCAGCACAATCTCGAAGTCAATCAAGAAAGAGCGGGAATTTCTCAAAGACACGTGGACCAGGGCATAAATTAAAGGATAAGATTTGTACGAAATGGAAGGTCCGCACTAGGTTGTTATACACCCGTACCAATAGAATTCTTTACTACAATTAGGAGTGTACTATATTAGGGTTTTCTCCTCCTATATAAAGGGGACCCTAATCATTTTGTAAGAATCATCTGATATTATTCACTGCAATAGAACATTCTGCTCTGCCTTTCTTGTTTAATGTGCTCAACAATTATTCTTCAGCTTTATTGTCTTTACTTTATTGTTCATACTTTATTGTTCTTAGCTGACCTCGAGGTCCCTGGGATAACCGAGCTCGAGGCCCCTATTGCTCTATCAACACTGATTTGGTTCACCTTTTCTTCTTACTTAAGCTCAATATTACTTGTATAATCACTAGTATTAGAATATATCACATATCTTTAAAACCACAAATTATCTTTAATTGTTACTCACATTTTTCGAGGTAAACAGTTTGGCGCCCACCGTAGGTGCTAAAGATAATAGTGATTATTTTAGTGCTAGTTTTATGATAACACACATTATTCTTCACACTTTTTCTTGTCAAAGATTTTTTGGTTTCAGGCCAAAATATGTCAAGCACACAAAACACACCCACTCATGATAGTGAGGGACTCGGGGAAAACAGCGGTATAGGGCTTGGTGTACCACTCATAAAACTTGAGGGAGTTCCAAACGTGGAGCCAGTGGATATCAGTTCGCACAACGCTCTAAACACGGACGCAGGCACAGACCCCGTAAGGAATGCACACAAGGAAGCCCGAGCCGGAGGCCAGGAAACGCGAGGAATGGAAGAAGGAGGAGTCAGCCTCCAAGTGATATTCGAGATGCTGCAAGCTCAGCAAGTCGCCATTGCTCAACTTCAGAGTCAAAACAGAACTCCAAACACTGTCGAACCAGTGGACACCCGGCATACGGAACCTGCGCCTGAAAGGCCTGATGAAAATGGCTCGGGGACTGATCCGGCTATTATGAAAAATGCTCGAAGAGCTGACCAAAAGAATCGAGTCCGAAGAAAAGAAAATTGAAGAAAATGACAAAAAGGTGGAGACATACAATTCAAGAGTCGACCAGATACCAGGAGCACCTTCGATTTGAAAGGGCTGGATTCAAAAATGTTCATACAAAAACCTTTCCCCCCCAAGTGCGGCTCTAATGCCCATTTCCAAGAAGTTTTGCATGCCCGATATACCGAAATATAATGGAACAACAGACCCTAATGAACATATTACTTCATACACTTGTGGAATCAAAGGAAATGACTTGAATAATGATGAAACCGAGTCAGTATTGTTGGAAAAGTTTGGGGAAACACTATCAAAAGGAGCTATGATCTGGTATCACAACTTAGCTCCCAACTCCGTTGACTCATTTGCTATATTGGCGGATGCCTTTGTGAAAGCTCACGCCGGGCCATAAAGGTGGCCACAAGAAAATCAGATGTCTTCAAAATAAAACAAAGGGACGATGAGATGCTGAGGGAGTTCGTGTCCCGATTTCAAATGGAAAGAATGGAATTACCGCCAGTCTTCGATGACTGGGCAGTTTGGGCCTTTATGCAAGGTTTGAATGAAAGAAGCTCGATTGCATCTTGATAGCTAAAACAGAACTTGATTGAATATCCAGCTATGACATGGTCGGATATGTACAATCGTTATCAGTAAAAAATTAGGGTCGAGGACGACCAGTTGGGAGCCCCATCGGGCTCAGTTCATCCTAAAAGATTCGCAGCCAAACCCCCAAGGGACACAGACCGGGGATTAAGATTCAACAAAGAACGGTATCAAACATATGCCGATCGAAGAAACAACGGCCCGAGCCACAACTCCCCTCGGAGCGATCGAAGAAGTAACCAAGGTCAAGGTTCTCGGGGACTCATGAGCAAGAACGGGTTCGATAAACACGCCGACCCCACCGAGGTCCCTCGATTATCAGAATACAATTTCAGCATAGATGCATCAGGGAACGTCTCGGCTATTGGGAGAATCCAAGATACTAAGTGGCCCAGGCCAATACAGACCGATTCCTCCCAAAGGAACCCGAACTTGATGTGCAAGTATCATGGCACGCATGGTCATAGAACGGAGGACTGCATGCAGTTAAGGGAGGAAATGGCTAGGTTATTCAATGAGGGCCACCTTCGAGAATTCCTAAGTGATTGAGCTAAGATTCACTTCAGGGAGAGGGATGCAGGCAGAAAGAACGAACCTGAAGAACCTCAACATGTCATTCACATGATCATCGGTGGAGTCGACGTCCCACAAGGACCAATGTTCAAACGTACCAAAGTGTCCATCACAAGGAAGAAATGGACTCGGGATTACTTGCTCGAGGATACCCTCACATTCAGCGAGGAAGACATCGAGGCTTTATCTCAACCTCACAACGATGCACTGGTAATTTCTACCCTTTTAAATAAA